CCTATCCCTGTGTGCCTTTGCCTACCACGTACTACTCAATACCATACAAAACCGACATATACCAATTAAAAATTAAAATTAAAAAATATTTTGAATAAAAAAATTAACCAAAACACCTTTCAGGGGTATTTTGGTTAATTATTTTATTCAAAATAATTGTTTATTTTTATTAGATGTACCCTAAAAAAATGAATACACACCCCAATTATAGGTAAGAGAATTTGTAATTAAAAATAATAATTAAAAAAAAAAAAAGAAGAAGAAGAAGAAGAAAAGAAAAGAACGAAAAAGAGAAGTCCAAATCAATTTGCTACCCTCGAATCTTCTCACATTAAATCTTATCCGTTGGAAGGGTGCTTGTACAACCTCTAGTTTTCCTTTGCATTATTAGGGGGTTAACTTCATATACTTTCATTATTAACTGCTATTTATTTTATTTTTCAGGTAAAGGGGCTAACACCCCACCTGCAGTTAGTGGAGCAGGATCCATTGGAGTCCTAAGGAACACACCACCTTCTCTCCTCTTCCTTGTCTTGCTTCTTTGTAACCAACATGCACACCTCTTCTAAGTTGTTATTCACCACAGCTGTTCATAACTTTTGAGTATTATGTGATTTTCCTTTTTTCCTATTTTTTTAATTTGGGGTGTGGGATGTGTGATTTGTTCCTTTGTTTCTGTTTTCCTGTGTTATGGAGTTATGGTGCGTAAGGATTATTGTATGTTTACATATACACATATATGGAGACATTTGTTATTTGTTTGATTTGAGGTATTAAAACTTTAGTGAATTGCACTTGTTGAGCTGTAATTCTTTTGATGTAATTATGCATATATAGCATGGAGTAATATTTTTGGGACTGCATACGATAAGACCATTTATTTCAAATAAAATGAGGTCATTATCAATCATAGCCGTTAGATTGAAATTGAAATCATGCGGCTAGGGAGGCAATGGAAAGTTTGAGAAAAAAGTTAATTGAGTCTTCAGTATGGTCATTAGCACAAATACTGGATTCCACATCTAATGCCTAAATTATGACCTTCTTGTGCTAAAAATATATGTCGATTATTTGAATGTATATTCTTTCAATTTTCCCACAGTAAGACAAAATTCACCACAAAAAATGATTCGTGTTTATGGGCTCAAAATCTAGTAAATATATATAAAGGGATAATTTATAAAGAGATTGTTTATCTTCTGTATGTAGAAGTAACAATCATTATTGTCCCTTATATTTCAAAATGAGTGGTTGTAAGAGTGTCATTAAATAGACATAAAGTTCCAAAAAAAAAAATATTGGATTTTTTTATTCACCCTAAGCCTTCCAATCTGATATCTAATGAGTAGGTATGATTGTGACTCCAAGTATAAAACATAAATGGTATCTTTGTAAACAATCCCCATTATGGTTCCCTTTGGATTTGTTTTTCAAAGGAGCTTGGGTAGAATAAATAAATAAATGAAAATAAGCGTCATTTTCTATCAGTTCTTTATTTTTTTAATTATTATGAGCAACATGAACGTCCAATATTCAATCCTAGAATGCCTGCCTCCACAATAGTAAAGAGCATACTCCAGACTTCTTTCTTTTATATGTTTAACTATCAAGTAGATAAACTTATGTTTATGAAGACTAAACACTCTTGATATCATACGAACTGGGGGTCGCTTTATTGGTCCAAAGGCCCTCACAAGGAATAGGTTTTTAAGTTTGCTTCTTTAGACGTATAGCCACTAGGGCTGGGAAATGGATCAGGTCGACCTGTGGACCCGATTTGTCGACCTGACCGGCTCTAGGTTTGGACACAGACAGTGGACCTAATAGATTGGGTTTGGGTCCACATGACCTGATCCAGGCTCGGGTCTGAGTATGTGTCCGGGTCCAAGTCCAACTGAAATCATGTTGGATCACGTCAGGATCAACCAGACCCAACTTGATATGTATTAGTAGAACTACAGTTAATAATGTTAAGTAGTTATAAAATATACATATAGTTTTGATGTAGAAAAATTTGCGGGAACAGTAAAATTAGCAAAAATCAAAGCCAAACCCAAGCTAGGGTTCTAAAAACAATTTCTAAAAATAAGTTGAAATTGACTTCTCAAAGCCCCATACACCTCTTATATATTATAATTTGAGAAAGCTTTCTATGTTCCCCCTACAACATAGAAGTTCTATCCTCCCGCTTATCCAACCGTCCATTTTTTAATGGAGGGCTACGATTGCCCCAATCACAATGTCACATCTCTATACTGTTTTATTTTTAATTTTTTTTCTATAAACTATTTTGAAGCCAAATTTGGACGTTCATTCCGCAATTAAACTTGCACTAACAAAATATATATATATAAAATATTTTCAATAAAATAAAATTACCAAAATACCCTTGAAAGCTTCAAGAGGTATTTTGGTCTTTATCAAAAAATTATTGTTAATATTTTTTATAAGTGCACCCCAATGAGAAGATGCCATGTACCAAATTTCATACTCAAAAAATTTGTATAAAAAAAAACTAAAAATAAGATACTTTGAGACATCGAATCTAAGAGCAAATGGTGAGTGGCCCCCTTGATAAAAAATTGACAGCTGGATAGTAGCGGGAAGATAGAACTTTTAGGTTGTAGGGGGAACATAGAAAACTTTTTCTTATAATTTAATGGTCAGAGGCATCGTTTATCCATACAATGATTAAAATAGTACATGTGAATAGTATTTTTGAATAGTACTTATGAAATAAATAAAAAATAAAAACCCTAGAATCCCTAAAAAAAAAAAACTAGAAATAAATCCTTAAACTCAAACTATGATATACATTCTTTAAAGTTGAATAAAAATAAAAAATAAGAATAATTTTACCATCCATCATTCTCCCTTGGTTGGAGAAAGCTTGTCCTCGAGTTTTGAAGTATGCTAAAATGAAATTGGCCCTAGTCCGGCAATATTCTTCAACTCAAATATTGTAAACATGATCTTGGGACTTATGGGTTATTGCACTAATCAAAACACAATGATTGTGCATTAGAACTAATAAACCCTCAAGGAAATGGTCATTGTATGTCGGTAAAATATTTTTAATCGTATAAATTTGTTGAAATTACATCACTTCAGCCAGGTAACCTTGCTGAATTTGCCTAGATTCAACTCTAGAACACACCATGCTAGCATTTTTTACATCAACGACTAAACCAACAACTTCATCTATCAATTCTCAATTGGGTTCTTCATCTTTTTCGTCGTCAAGTACAATTCAATCACAAAATCTTGATCATCATCATAGATTAGATCCCCTACATAATATTGTTCTTCATCTAATTATGTGTCGAAGATTTGTGGCAGATCTCAATCTACATGCTGCTGATTTTCGATCTCATCTTTCAAATCGAAAACCCTACAGTGATGTTCCCCACATTTAGGTATTCTATCACTAACTTCATCATTCGACTCCCCTCACGGAGCGCAAAATGTACTTGAAATCCTTTTGGGCTAAAAGATCACCATCCTGCCCATTATTGAGGCTCGCTAATTGCTGCGTCAACTACTGAACTTGTCATTTTAGTTCTTCAATTTTGTCATCTTTGGGACCACGAAACGGATCTACAAAAATCCCCCTTCTACAGCTCCTTCTTGCTGATATGAGTTTGTCAACATCACAAACCCTAGGTAAATAATCGACAAATGACAAAACATTAGCCGAAAGCAGCAAGAAACAAAACCAAACACAAGAACAATTCAAAAAAAAACTAGGGTTTCATCTTGATACCTAAGCTAAGGTTCCAAAAGCCTAAGCTTTTCTCTTTTTCAATTTCTAAAAATTATGTAGAATTGATCATCTCAAAGTCCCACACGCCTCATATATATTATAATTCAATGTTCAAAGACGTTACATGTCTATATAATAATTAAAATGTCCAATATATCCTAACTCAAACTTAAATTCCATAGTGACAATTTTACCTTGTAAACAATACTCGTGAACAATATTTGTAAAAAGTATTTATGAAGTAAAAAATAAATAAAAAAACCCTAAAATCCCCAAAAAACTAAAATTCCCTAAAAATAATCCTAAAACTCAAAATATAATATGCATATTTTAAATTTGATTAAAAATAAAAAATAAAAATAATTTCAAAAAAGGCAAGAGATAAGCTCAAAAGGACGTGGGGACTTACAACCTTATTAAAGATATGACCATTAATAGAGCAGAATGACAAGGCAGGATTCGTGTAGTTTATCCCAATTTGTAGGGAAAAAGTTATGACGATGATGCTGATATATAGTTTTATATTTTCTTTTTTATCTAGAGACTGGACCCAACCTGACCTGGTGGGCGGGTTTCGGGTCTAATTGATTTGGACCCGAACTAGGTTTGAGTCAAGTCTGAGTCCAACGTCAAGTTGGGTTGAGGTCCCCCGAACCCAACCCGACTCATTTTCATTGAAAACTCGCTCGTCTGTTCACTAGTTATTCGCATAGTGGTTGCGCTCCCTAGGACATTCCTTTCACTAAATCGATATTTGAAAGACTCATTTCTTTTCCAACGATAAGAAAATTTTTAAAAATAAAAAAAATGTAGCAAAAGTAAAGCAATCCGTAAAAAGTCCAAATAAGCTTACAAATATAGACATATGGATTCATTTTAAAAAATTGATTTTATAGTTTGGGGAATTTTAAAAAATTCAAAAAAAAAAAATATGAAGATAGGGATTATGTCAAAAACACACGAAATTTTTCCAAAAACATCTAAATTATATCCAAAAATAATAATAGAACGATCTCACATTTTTGACAATTTTTGGGCAATTCTTGAAATTTGTCATGCCATGGAATAATACACACAACTTGGGGAAAGTCGGCTGAGTTACTTGGCCGAGCACGGTGGTTTTCCGCACATTATATTGTTGCTCTAACCAAACTTTCTAAAAGTGGTTTAATACACCAGTTGATCCTGATTAATTCAATTTCCTACTCCCAAAATAAGATTTGGAGGGCTAATTACAATTTGGGATAAATATTGCATCTCATCAATTTAATCCTATTATAAAAAATGAAGAGGAAAAAATAACAAACAGATTTAAATACAACATTATGAGGGAAGCCTCGAGGGCCGGCAATAGGTGAGGCGGCCTGGCTTATGAAGTAGCGCTTGGGCGGTCCAAAAGGCTGGGTTAGGGTCAGGCCATCATGAACCCAAACGCTAGGCCAAGCCAGGCATGGGTCAAGGCCATAACAGGACCAGCCCAGCCTAGCCCCTATTTTTATTTATTTTTAACTTTTTTAGTTTTGTTAGGTGGGGCTGGGCCAGGCCCAGGCTAGGGTCGGCCCGTGGACACCCCCTTGGTATAGAAAAGTAGGCACTTTCTCCATGGCGTAACACAAACTGAATGCGTGATTTAGTATTGCACGGAAGTGTATGAATAAATATATAACTTACAAAAAAAAAAAAAGTGTGTGAATAAATATGCTATAGGTAGAGACGCGATCTGGAGTAAAGGTTTATAGTGTAAGAGAGAGATGGTTTATAGTATGAATAAATATGTAACTTACGAAAAAAAAAGAAGTGTGTGAATAAATATGCGATAGGCAGAGACGCGATCTGGTGTTTGTAATTTTTTAAAAAATAAGATCTAATTTTGTTGTTAAAATTTTTTAGTATTATCTTAAAATATATTTTCATACCTAATTAAAAAAATTTAAATTAAAAAATGGTTAAAATCAAGTAGATCTATAAATATATCAAAATGTTGAAATTGGACGGTCTAGATAATGTGTTGCAAGATGCACCATTTTTCGGGACTCAAATACCTTTATTTTTTCATAATCATACATCTTGATGTCGAGATGATCGATTAGAGGGTTTTTTCAACATTAAAACAACATTTCCGATAGATTTTTGAGGTGCATCTATGATTCTATATTTTAAGGTTGCAACCTTATTATAACTTTTCCCTCCTAACAAATACCTATTCCAGTAGGAAAACGTTTATGGACACGGTTTCTATGTGGCTTTGTGATAAAAATATTGTATAAATGTGGGCTTTGTGATAAAAATATTTTTAAAATATAATTTGATCTTGATTTTCAGAGAATATATAATCTTTAATATGGAGATCATGAATATGAGAAAAAAAATAATAATAAATAAATAAATTGAAAATTAAAAATAATAATTATATTAAGAAAATATTTGAACCATTAGTTACATTTATTTTCAGATGGACGACCTATTATAAAACATCTTTAATATGGATGTTTTATACCTGTTGAGCTCATATGGTAGAAAATCGGTCCAACCTGTATGAAACAATCTTCCAAAGTTTATATAAGTTGTCAACTTTATACTATGCAAGTAAGACCCACTTCAAAAATCTACCAAAAAGGAGCGTTTCGATATTGAAAAACCCTCAAATTGATCATCTCAATCTTGAAATGTAGTGATATGAGAAAAAAAGATTCTAATTTCTAACAATAGTGCATCTTCATAACAAGTGATTTAGATCATCTATTTTCAAGATTCTAAAGTATTTATAGATCCGTTCGATCTACACTATTTTTAAAGTTTTCAATTTCATAATTAAGGATGAAAATAGATTTTAAGATCATTATAAAATTTTAGATACCGGAACTACATCTTCCAGCAAAATTTAGAGGTGCGCCTTACTTCTATGATACCAAATAGGTACATTATACAAACTTCACCCATTGCTACATGGGGACATTTTATTCATGTATCTCATAATTAACTAAAACTAGCTCCAGCCCCTTGCTTGGGCAGCAAGCCGCAGCCAACCTCGGCAGCCATTAACGACCCGGGCCATTAGGTAAGCTACACAACTAACTAATTTACCAAACCATTATTTTATACGTCCACTTTTCTTTGATTAAAAATTAGGTTATCAAGCTAAATTCTTTGAATATTTGAGGTTATAGCCTTTTTGGCACAGGAAACAAAGGTTATTTTAGGGTACAAGACAACACTACAGCATCCCATGTGTAGTTCATGATATGCTTATTGCTCACATTATGCTTTTTTGTATATTCTAGGTAATTAATTTACTGAACTTTTGAATTTATATTGTTGTGCATTACTTTGCTTGGGTGGATTGGCTATCTGGAAACCGGTACATATTGGTGATCCGACCCATTCTCCTGGGTCAGAATTGGTCAATAAAAAATAAAGAATAAGAGAAAAATGAAATATGCGGGAACGAGGTGATCTATTTGGTCCTCGTCCAGACCCTTATAGAAATTCAGTTCCCTAATAGGATTAGTCCGGACCGATTAACCGCCTGTTCCATTTCCAAATCAATCAATCTGATCTGGATTGTCCTTTTGAAGACTCGGGGTGAAAAAAAAACATTCCAAAAGACAACAAATTAAAAGGGTTACGTACAATGAGACCATTTACTTTTGATATAAAAATATCACAATTATTTAAAAGTTAGAACTATTTGATGCGAAAGTTAGTAGCTTGGTTGCCATAAAGTTTGAAAAAAAAAAAATTTGAATGGAATAAATGCAGACACCCAATTTCACGTCCAATAGTCAAGATTAATTACGATCACCTTGTCCTATAAAGGAAGATGGTATCATTGTATACTTTTCCCAAACTAAAATAAGACTCAAAAAGAAAAAAATTGGGTACATCCATAAATACTGTATTCTCAAAGAATTATAGTAAGGAAAGTATTTCAATCCCCAAATTATTGGGGTTCCGTGTTCATGACTAATTCAAAGAACAAAAAAGGGCTCCACTGCACTTCTAAATTTTCTAGAGAAAACCAAAGTTGGTGAACTCCAAACCCACCTCAAAATCTACCACTCCAGCTCCATGTATATATTCCATACCCCCCATCCTCTTTTCTCCACTCTACTCTCTCTCTCTCTCTCAAACACCTGCACATACATCACTCTGCTCTGCCTCCTCTCTGTCTCTGTAAATTTACAAGAAAACTGTAGAAATGGAAGGTGGACTCCGGTTGGTCATTTCAATGAGCATGGTTGTAGGGGCGATGATCAGTCCTGTTTGGAGCCAACAAATAAGCTCGGCTTGCACAAGCTCCATGATCACTAGCTTCACTCCTTGCTTAAATTATTTGACAGGAAGCACCAACAATGGCTCCTCTCCAACTCAGGAGTGTTGCAGGTCGCTCAAGAACCTCATGAGCAACAGTGTCGACTGTGTCTGTCTCTTGGTCACAGCAAATGTGCCTTTCACTATACCCTTCAACCGCACACTCGCCATCTCTCTACCTAAAGCCTGCAACATGGCCGGTCCACCTGTAGAATGCAAGGGTACTCTCTCTCTTTCTCTCACCCCTGTAGAATGCAAGGGCACTCTGTTAAGGAAATTTATTTTTAATAAACTAATTAAGGATTTTTTTATTTTTGCAGCCTCTGCTACTCCTCTCCCAGCTCCAGGTAATATTCTACTCATCCCTGAAAATGGCTAGAGAAGTTTATCAAAATACATATAAGAGCTTAACTATTTAATATTTTATGTGTCTTTTTGTACCTATCAAAGTATACATGAACACGAATTGAAAAATAAATAAAATTAAAATTATTGAAAAGTTAAGCATATTTGAGAAATTTCCTAAATATTCACATTTATTTTGAAAGGTTGCAATCCGGAAAGTTTTTTTTTTTTCTTTTGTTTTCCTCATAGCCGTTGCTCTTTTGAATTGCTCTGGCATTTACCTTATAAATGTTATCATGTTCCCTAGTTTAAAAAAAAAAAAAATGCTTCATGTATCATTTGATTACTACAGATACTAACACCCCAATTCCCTTGTCCAGGTCCTTTCTCATTCGGGCCTGCAGGACCTGCACCCGAATCAGGTAGTAAACAAGTCCCCATTTTCTTAGTCTAGGTTAGCCTTCAAACCTTATTGAGCTGAAAGCCCTCCATCCAAGGGCTGGCAATAGGCCGACTTAAAGATGGGCCAGAGCCAGACTATTGGGCTGTCAACAGGCCAGGGTCAAGTTGGGCCAAGACCCTAGGACTACAGGCTTAGTTGCAGTGGCCTGAACTCCTATGGCTATTGGGCCTATATCATACCAAGGACATGGCCCGATTGACAATCTTATTTGTTGATAGCATTAAATCAAGAAAAAAATAAAACCAATTTCACATCTATTAGCTAAAAATTTGGACGGTGGGTAAGCCATTAATCTAACCTTAACATATCAAAGTACATATATTTTTTAATATATATATAGATATAAAAAAAAAAGGGATTGAAACCCTTTAAAAGAGTCAAAAATTACAAATTACTCTCGAAATACATGCTTTTCAATTTCAATATCAATAAGATAAATTCTTAAAAATGTGTTGAAAAATGTTTAAAACCCTAAATTCCTATAAGCCTTACCCTAATGAAAATTGGGGTAAAATTACCAAAAAACCTCTAGTTGTCGTCGTTTGTAAATACGGAACAGGGGCAATTTGAAAAAAGAATTGTATTTTTTTAAGAACATATTTGATTGATCTAGAAATTGTGAAATAACTTGTCTATATTTTACTAATCGATTCGTGAACCCGTTTTCAAGTAGTGTTTCATCGATTGTCAATTTATAACTTTTTGATCCTTTTAGTGAAACAATAATCGTCTTTTTATATACTTTCAGAAATATTTATTTTTATTAATAGTTCATTTTCTTCATTAACACTTACTTCTCTGTGTCTCTCTGTCTTCTCTTTAGATTCTTCAGCTCCACAAACACCATCAGTGGTGCAGCCCCAAGATTTGGCACCCCCTCCATCTACCGAGGTTTTCTCGCCGCCGCCATCGGCAACGCTTGATCCACCTCCATTGCCACCGGTCTCAACTCCAAGCCTCGGGAGCCTCATTCCAAGTCTCAATACAAATTCAGCCAAAAAACTTCCCCAAATTTCACCAATTTTCATCCTAACCCTGGCTCTAGGAACCTTCTTCTACTGAGCACGTCATTCTTAGTATAATTTTGTATGATTTATTGATTTTTTTTAATATGTATTTTTCCTGTTTGTTTTGCGGGTCTTTGTATGAAATTCGTATTTATGTATTGAAGCTTTATGATATAATTTATTTGTGGTTCTAAATTTCTATGGAGAATATATAGGAAGTGTTTGGCCCATGTGTGTATAAAATCAACTCCGCCATTGGCAGAGCCAAGCAACAGTTCAGCTCAGGGTCTTTTGGCGCTTAAAAATTCAAAAAAATAAATAAGTAGTAAGAGTAAATTGAAACCGAGAACAACTTAAAAAAGTTAAAATAAGCTTACAATGTAGAAAAAAAATGGATTAAGAAAAAAGAAATTAACAATTTGAGATATCTTTAAGAAATTCAAAATATAAAAATACTGATTACGGCAAAAGAAAAACACTCAGCAATGTTTTTAAATAGATCTCAGTCAGAATAAGAAGAAGAGGAGTGTATACAATGAGGCCGGTAATAACTCGGGGGGCGATATCGTCCAGCTCAGTTGTTTGAAGCCCATTTCAGTAACCTATCTCTCTCTCTCTCTCTCTCTCTCTCTCTCTCTCAAATCTCAATAAAGAAAACATCACTCTTCTGTCTCCTCCTGCTCAGGCGAGGAAGAACGCTCCTTCCATTTCTCAAGAACACGACGCTCATCCATTCTCACTCTCTCTCCAGGAAAAGGCATAACTGCCTCACCATTTTCTCTCTGTTCCAAACAAACTCTCTCCCCATTTCTCTCTGCTCCCCTTCATTCTCAACAATCCATTCTCCTCTCTCTCTCTCTCAACAAGAAACCCCTTTCTTTCCTCTCTCTCTCTTTCTCAATAAACAAGAAAGGCCTCCTCTGTTAAGAAACAATAACCTTCGCCCCTCTCTCAAGAAACAACCACCGCCCCCATTCTATTAGCGATCAGGAAACCAGAAACTCCCTCCTCTCTCAAGAAACAAGAAACATCCCTCTCTCTCTCTCTCTCTCATACAGACGTACGTACTACTACTTACCTACTACGTACGAACGTAACGTAACGTAACGTACGTACGTAACGTAACGTAACCGTAACCTAACC